AAAGCCCTTCAGTAACAAAGATGTGGCACAAGAAACTACTGTATATAAAAATTTCCGCAAGAAACTACTGTATACAAAAATCTCCGGATGGTGAGGGGTGTGGCAAAGGGAAAAAGGGGCCCTTCTCCCCGCAAAGTTGCCGATCCTCCCTATATTATATGCCTGGAACGGGGATGCGAGGCTTGAAAGGTTCCCACGAAATAAGCGCCTTTGTCTTCTGGGGAGGATTAAACTCTTCCTCGGCCTGGGAGGAAACGGCGAGGCAACCGCGGGAGCCTGAAAGCAAAGCCGAGAGGAGCCGCCGGGCTGTTAGCGAGGAGGGTCGTCGAAACGCCCCTTTGCTCGGGGCCCTTCCCACCCTTCACTTCCGAAGAGGGGAGCCTCCGCCACCCCGAAAGCCGCCTTCCTCTTCCTTCCTTCCTTCGAAGCAAAGGCTTCCCTCCACCGCCAACCGCCCCCCCCGCAACCGCCGAAGTAGGCAGCCCCCCCCCTTGCCTTAAAAGAGTCACTCACCCGCCAACAGGAAGAAGGAAGTGGGAGAAGCCTCCTCCTCCTCCGAACCCCACGTGCATTCTTGAGGGATCATGGAGGATGGGCCGGAAAGAGAGGCCCCGTGACACAGAGCCCGACCAGAAGCGCTTGTTCACAAGGCGCGCCCTCTGTCGGTCGCTTGGAGATGACACATCTGGACCATAGTTGATCCACTTGGAGGCTTTTCCCACGAGGAATTTAAAATAATAAATAAATGTGGGAGCTGTCCTTTTGTTTTGTGGGGGCGGCGGCGGGGGATGGGGAGAACTACAGCTCACAGAATTCTCTGATGAGCTAGCTTGGAGGGGGATGAATTCTGGGATTTGTAGTCCAAAAAAAGGAAAAAGTTCCTAGTCTGGCGGAAACAATGGACAAATGAGGATTTTTTAGAGACGAATGGAAGAGTCAAACTCTTTCTCGGTGAGGTCAAGTTCATGAAAGAAACCGGAGACGCACAAATATATTTAGCCTGCATCTCTGCATCGTTGTTCGTTTTTCCTCCAAAGCAGCTTTAATTTATCTCAATTAGACTTTTCGAAAGAGACCTACAGGAAACTGGTCAGCCTGGCGATGTCTCCTATTTCCTATCTCTGAGCCCAGAGCCGGATTTGAGGGGTGGCAGCACCCTCACTGTGGGGGCTTATGGGGTTTGGTGTATATGGGGAGGGGGGGCATGCCGGACGCCCACGCCATCAGCAGAAGGGACCCCCCTCGGGAAGCTGGACTGCCACCAGCCGCTCTCCTTCCGGGCGGATCTCTAGCGCGGCTCCCTCCTTGCTGCTTGGGGGGAGACAATGGAGCGGGCGAGGTTTCTATGGGTCCCCCTCCTCCTCCAGGTGAAATGTCATGGGGAGGCTAAGAGGACAAGGTATTTCCAGGAGGAAGAGGTTTCTTCTGTGGCATTTCTTTAAAAGCACACTTGTAGAAACAACTCCTGTCAGTTCAACAACCCCTAGGCGTCATTAATAGTCTTTGCCCTCCCGCCCCCTAATTATGTGAATAAACACCCCTGTCAAATTTGGGATTTCTTTTCTTTTATTGAAGGGGTATCTAAAAAAAAGACATACTAAAATGAAATAATAAAATTTAGAAATTAAAAAAAAAGATAGAAACCTTCCATCATCTTGTGAGAATCATAGGGGCAAATCATTCAAAGTAAAATAAATGGGAAAAGAAGTTCAGAAAAAAAAAGAACTGCTTTGCTGAAGAAGCTAGAAGAGTGATATGAGTGTAGTGCAATATTATGGTTTAAAGCTGGCACATGCAATGTCAGAATAGCCATGGTGACCTTCAGTCTGCGGCAGGAGAAGTGCAGCAACAACAAAAAGGCTAATTTGTGTACAGAGGCATTTAGCTCCTCAGGGGTGCCTTCAAAAGGCAGGTGAATGGTACTGGCTACTGAATAACTAAAAGACAATCAGGATTTATTTGTAAGTAAACCCAACTGAACTCAGAGGACATTTCATCTGATCAGATTAAAGCCCGTCAGTAACAACGATGTGACACAAAATAATTTATAATCATCCCTCAAATACTTAATTCTGGATGCAGGCACAAGTTAGCTAACGCCATGACTGGCAAACTGAATTGCATCAGTTTGATTTGCAACTTGTATTTACGGCTGAATTCATAGTCAGCAATCACACAAGTACTGGGGTTTGATTCAGGAGTTCAGTGTTCACACTCAATGTAATGGGATTCACACTTGAGCTCACAGCCCCCCCCTTCTTTATTCTTTATTTCCTTCCTTCCTCTGGTCCCACCTCTCCCAGTCCTTTTATAGTTCATTGTCAAGCTACTTGGTTTTGAACGGTTTGTACAGTATTCTGGAAAAGGCAGCAACATTCCCAAGTTCTTCTTAATTTGTACAAAAATAGCACATGTCCACAGGAACATCTTTTATTTCATCTGGGTTATTTCTGTTTTATTTGTAATTTTTTTAAAAAAAAATCTAATCCAGAGATGAACTAGCACTAATCTCATATATGTAAAATATTTTTTTAAAATCAGAGGATAATCAAGGGAAAGAATGTGGGTGGGTGTTTCCGTAATCCTGAACATCACATCCAAATGCCTTTCTCACTGAAACACCACCCACAGGCATGCCCCCTCATCTTTGCAAGAATGAATCAACTGAACATTTCTGAATTGTTCTGGCTTGAAAAAGCAGTAGCCTTTTATGGCAGAAATAAAAAGAGTTGGGAACAAAAAGGACTGAACTGAGTCCAATAAGCCTTTGTGTTGTGTGATCAGAAAAAAACCCCACAATTTGTCCCATATAACCACAACAAATGACCGTGTAGTCACAGCCTAAACTACAATTTAGGTTCACAGACTTTTTATATTGTTTAAAAAACAATATAAAACAAAACCCCTGTGCCAGAGAAATTGAGACCACTTAAGTCTCACATAGTTTAGGGCAGGGGTCTCAAACTCAAATTACCTGGGGGCAGCTGGAGGCAGAATCTGGGTGAGGCTGGGCCACATCAGATTTCTTTGAAAATTCTCACAGAATCGCCTTGCCAAAGGAGAAAAGCCCCCATCGGTACCTGCGAAATTAAACAGAACGGGGCGGGACCCCTACAGGTGCGCACGTGCGCACGCACACATACACACACGGAGGTCCGGTAACCTTGCTCAGAGGGGCCCCCTCAAAAAAAGACACACTCAGCAGCAGCAGCTACCCCCATCATGACAGGGGAGCAAACATTGTGAGGCGAGCCCAGGCAGCCTTCAGAGCAGAGGCGGCTGAAGCAAGACGAGGAGGAGGAGGAGGAGGAGGAGGACGATGCACCACTGGGTGCTGAGGCGGCCGCTGGCTGGGCTGGTGGTGCCAAGAGAGAAAGAGAGCCAGAGAGCCACTTCCCTGGAAGAGGCGGCAGCGGCGGCAGATGCTGTTGGAGGCGCTCTTCAAGGACAGGGCGGGAGCGAGCTCCGCTCTCAGGCACTGCTCGCCGCCTCTCCCCCAAGACAGCGCCTCTCGCACCTTCCATCCGGAACTGCAGCCTGCCTGCCAGCCCGCCTGCAAGAGGCGCTGTCTTGGGAGAGAGCTGGTGAGTGAGGCGAGGCTTTTTTTGACTCTTGTCAGCAGAGGACGTATGGGTGCTTCGGGGGGGACAGGCAAGGTGGGGGCCACAAACTATCACCCGGCGGGCCACAAAGAGCCACCAGGCTGCATGTTTGAGACCCCTGGTTTAGGGTCTCAGCAATCTTAATTTGGTCTTGAAGTCATTGATCATTATTGAAAAAATATTAGCAAAATTGTTCTGTGTGCCATACTGTGTTTCTTGTAGTTTTAAAATCTAAAGCACACAAGGGAAAGGTCGGTGAAGTCAGGCTTTGGTTGATATAATAGACAGGGGTTTTTTTTGCCTATCCTAAAAGCAAGGTGTAGGAATGTTCATTAAACCATCATGTGTTTAGCTATCAAATGACCACACTATGTGCTACCGTTCAAAAAGCAGGTGCTTTGGGGACTTCAGCTTCCATCAGTCTTCGTCAGCACAAATAAGCAAATTAGAATTAAGTCAGGCAGAATGGAAACTGAAATCCAGTAATATTGTAAGAGCTGCATCCTCTCCAGATCTGTGTTCAAGTCTGCACATGAACAAAGAGATGTGACTAAAAACCAAAGACACAGCCTATAGTTTTTTGAATCTATTGTTTACAGGTAA